CATCACAAAGTTAAAGAATTGAGAATAAAAAATACTGTACTACAATAAAAAATCATAAAAATTGACAGTTCAACTTCTATTATTCACATACACCAACATGTTTGGGGAGACGGAATGCAGTTATTTTTTTTTTTTAAATATTAAGGGTACTTACTCATGGCGAAGGTAATGATGGCTTGTGTGGATGGATTTATCAGATTTGGAGGTGGGTTAATACTCAAGTTGGTCCTCTTCAGGATCATCCTCATCCTGTAGATACTGAGGAGAGGCCTTGAGGTGGCCATGCCTTCCTGCACAGAGAAGATGCCCTCGAAAAATTGTTTACCTGGTGCAGGAATGTATGGCAAATCTCTTAAGTCACTTATTTTTTTCTAAAGAAATTTTCATTGCACTAGTTTATCTTGGTGGGAGAGATTGTTGGAATAGATTGTCGCTGGCATCCATGAGCCAAACACCGATATTAAACACTCTTGCCCAACATCCACCCTTTGAAATGGGTGAATTTTCCTGATACTGATGATCATCTTGCAACTTGGGACATTGCCTGTTTTCTTCTTCCGATTCAGGAGAAATAATATGAAGAAAAAACAGACTTTTGCATCCCTGCTGAGGTCGTCACCAATAACCCCAATGCCTCATTGTATCCTGCAGAAATACAGAGTATGCAGAATTTTGTGCTTTTTTTATTAAGATGCCCCAAACATCTAAATTGTCCACACACTACAGTACATTTCCTAACACAAAGAAAACAATTACCTTGGGTACTAAATTAAAGGTTTTAGGCAGTTTGATACTGGTGAGTGGGCTGTTCACATTGGTGTCATGCAATGTGTTTACAGCACTTAGTACCAAGAAAATGAGCAGGTCCTTAAGTCAGTTAATGGAGAATATGGAATGATAGCATGTCATAATGCTATTGTAAAACATATTCAAAGCACACACAAATCAACCAGAACCTTCTTGATGTGCAGAGATGCATCAGTTGATGCAGAGCCGAGAGGGAGATTACTCGAACACATATGTCTATTATTAAGTCAGTCACTATCACACCTGATAATTCTTTTATTCATTAAAAGTTTATTGCTTTAGTGTGATAAGAGTAGTAAAAACAGCTGTACTGTAGATGGTTTTGTGGGCAGTTGACAAATGGCTGTGAGAGGGAGCACCTGTTCATGCCTATATATTGTATCTCCTACAGCTCTGTATGTATTTCATGCTTTTTTTAACAATTTCTAAATGTTTCTGCATGAAATATTAACCCAATTACATTATCCCCAAAACTGACCTTTCTGGTGGACAGAAATTTTCCCCCCCCTCCCCCTATTTACATTATTTCCTTTGGGAAAATTGATTAGTTTAGTGTCAATTCACCAAAAGTTCAACTTTTCAAGAATCCAAATACAACCTTATGGTATACATCACATGCAAAGTATGACCAAACATTCTTAAAATGATAAATGTTTTATGAATCAAACACTGATCAGTTCCACATAAAGATGTATGTTTGGTTATAAAAAAAATTGAAGATAGTAACACAGCAATTATCCAAATCTTACAATTTTTTTTTATTATCAATTTGGAAACAACAGAGCTTACTATTACTGAGATTATACCACATACTGAAGATGTGTGTGTGTGAGTGTGTGTGTCAGTTATCTCATTGAGTATACAAACTTCATTTTATTTGAAGTTCGCATGACAACATAAATCAATTGCACTCAATTTCAAAATCTTGTATCAAATCATTCAAATGTTTCTTGGTCTTAACCTTTAAAACCTTAAGGATATACAGTACTGTACTGTGACTGGGAGGTTTGGGATAAATTCCACAAAAATTTTCCTGCCATACACGAGTTTTCTATTTACCAACAAGAACTGACAGCATTAATAGCAAAAATACCTGACTGTATAACAGGTTTGTTATACGGTACTACTGATTTTTCATGTTATCATCATGAATGTTTCAATTCACTGGGAAAAAAAATATTAGAACTCAATGAACAAAGGCGAGTGGTAATAATCTAAATGTGTCTACTGTACTGTAGTATACATATTGTCCATATGCATCTTTCCAAAGTGGTTTTATAAAGGGAACTATCATCTAATGCTTGTGTTCAGAGCTAAGTAGGTGCTAGTTTAACATGTGTAAGTCTACAAATACAGTATCTCTTATTTAACCTTCCAGCAACAGCAGTTCTGGGATGCAATACTGTACTGTATAATGAGCAGATGAGTGAATTAGCGTGACAAAATATTTAGTTTTATTGGGCTGACCTTATAACAACAGGGACAGATCCAAGAATATCAAAGGGGGGTGGGGGGCAATAAGTTGCGGGTGGGGAAACATGACAAGAGAAGTGAGCCACCTAGCCGGGTTATTTTTCAGGGGGCTTACCCCCCCAAATGTTTTTGAAATATGACAAATATCCTTGGCATTTTGAAGCCATGTGCACTTGATATTAGGAGATATTCTGAGGTCAACAGTAATTACTTTTTACTAAAAAAATGCCTGAGTACAATACTGCATTAAAGAAAAAAATATTGGAATTTTCTGATGAAAAAGGGGGAGGGGGTTTCCGGACCCCCCCCCCCCCTGGAACTGCCCTTGTTCATTCAATCTATTCTTTTGAAAAATCAGACCATTTAAATTAGTTTTAGGAACAAATTTACTAGCAAGTAGCTACAGTACAGTATTACAAATATTAAAGTTGTCAATAGAAAATTATGTAGGCTTTGCTAATTTACCTGCGATCAATATTTATTCTGATGTATCATATGATAATTTACCTATGTACATAAGCACAGATATATTTACAGTTTATACAAGTTGTACTATTATTGTGAAACATTAATGTGAATGTAAAATATGCTAAGACAATCATCTTGGAGAGTTAATAGGTATTGTATATTGGAAGTGATACAAGTTGAAATGTGATGTGTACAAAACAATATCTGCAGCTGGAAGGTTATTAACAGACCTGTGTTCATCTATGATAATAACAGTCTCGCATAACATATTTTTTTACCTTAAGTCCTTATAAGCAGTAAAGGAAAGGCAGTTTAAAATAAAATACTGGGACATTAAATATATATTCTGCTGAGCTTAATGTTTGCTTGTGGCTTCCTTGAATTTGTCAGCTAAAATCCTAGGAATGTAAAAACTCTAAATCAACAGTTACATTTGCTTGAATAAGAAAAAAGTTATCATATACGCAAAGTCAAAATATTGCGATATTTTGACTTTGCGTATATGATAACTGTACTTAAAAAATACAGCATAACTTTGAAATTTCATGCCAAATGTTGTGACAGGTTTAATAATTTATACATAAAGTATACTGCACATAGGTCAATATCTGTATATATCGTATAGTAATGTACTCTCTCTCATATATATATATATATATATATATATATATATATATATATATATATATATATATATATATATATATATATATATATATATATATATATATATATATATATATATATATATATATATATATATATATATATATATATATATATATATATATATATATATATATATATACTGTATATATATATAAGGCATCCCCGGGTTACGGAAATTCGCTCTTACGGATTTTGTAAATTATGACCAATAAATTCGGGATACGAACCAAAAATTTACCCTTATGGAAATTGGGTAATTTTTTTTTTCAATACTATTAGAAAAAAAAATTACAGATATTATAAAATTAATTTGTGTGGATTTCTTGATAGTTGCTACAGTAACTCCGATTGCACCACCTTACCTCACCACCTCACCTAATGCAGCACTCAACATCGTTTATGGTAGATTAAATTCAAGTGTTTTGTATATTTATTACCATATTATATCATAAAATAATGAATGTATGTGTTTAAAATTGTTTATTTTCATTTATAAATGTGCTTGTATTACGTCTTTTTGCCAAAAAAAATATTTCCTTGGGAACGCATCTCCAATTATATAATGGAAGTCAATGGGAAAATTGGTTTCGCGTTACGGAAAATTTTTCAAGGACACATACTCTCCATAACCAGGGGGATGCCTACAGTATAAAGCTGCTCTCCGACTTACGACAGGGTAAGGGACCCAAATCTAGGTCGTAAGGCGAAAATGCTTAAATAATACATAGAAAATCTAAAATGGGTGTCTCTTTTTCTTCTCAGTACCACAAAACTCTCACTTTTAAGCTTGCCAGCCATTTTAAAGTAAATTACAAACAAAAATTTTGTCAGTACACAGCGCAATCACTGACGTTGGGACTCGAAAATACGTAATGTGACAAAATTTTGGTACAACTGAGGCGGTCGTAAGTTGAGTAGGTCGTAAGTCGGGGAGTAGCTGTGTGTGTGTATATATATATATATATATATATATATATATATATATATATATATATATATATATATATATATATATATATATATATATATATATATATATATATATATCTTGATAAATCACACAGAAACAACAGCTAACCTGTTTTTCCGTGTGATTTTATCAAGATATATATATATATATATATATATATATATATATATATATATATATATATATATATATATATATATATATATATATATATATATATATATATATATATATATATATATATATAGAGTATAATCAATGACCTCAACAGCCAGGACTCGAACCCTCGACCTTATGCGTGTGAACAGAGATTGCTACCACCTTGCCACAAGGACACTAAAAGCAATCCTAGACTTTGTTATATTTCACACAAAGCCTGTTCATTGAGCTGATGGCGCTGTGAACCTCCAATTGGGGATTGCCTTTTGCCACTTATGTGGTCGGAGTAGCATTTTACCGAATCCAGCTTGGTTTGAAACACGAGGTTCCATATATATTTCATTTAGTCCATATAGCATGCGGACTTTCAACATATAATCAATGACCTCCCCAGCCAGGACTCGAACCCGCAAAAGGTCGAGGGTTCGAGTCCTGGCTGGCGAGGTCATTGATTATATGTTGAAAGTCCGCGTGCTATATGGACTAAATGAAATATATATATATAGAGTATATCTATATATATAAAATTACCACCACATTCAAACAACAAGCCATCAACAAATAAAAATGCTCCTACATAACCAAGTCCTAATATTTAAATTAATAATCATAAATCTGTATTTGAAAAATAATCTTGCTGCCACTATCTCTGATCAATACAAAAAAGTCTATCAAAGCTTGTACTATAAAACTATCATTAGTGGCTTTTCACTTCTTGTACCCAAGAATGGCTTCTCCAACTCCAAAGTAGTACACCATCTGGGCGATCCCAAACAGAGGAGCAATTACAATCATTCTGCATGCTCCACCTTTGAAGAATGCTTGAGGCCCCTCATCCTTCAGAATTGTTCTGTAGAGAAGTGTATTAATGATCAGGTAATTAATCAATTCAAAATAAAAAAATATTATTTAATGCATGTGACAGAAAGACTAATGTTGAATTTCCTTCATACTCATTCACTGTGCATCCAGCACCTCACATGAGCAGACACTGATCACAAACATCTGCCTTAACTTGTTACTACAATACATCCACTAACATCACTAACTCCCTTTCCATGTCCATTCCACATTTTACTTCAGTGTTCATATTATAATTTACTAACTACCTGTAAACCCTTAATAAATTAGCTTTTCCCTTTCATAGATTCCATCAGAACTTTATAAATTCCACTTCTCAAGCAATGATTTTGAAAGTATATAATTTCGGATATTTGTATAACTAATGTACCATATATATCTCGTGGATAAAACTTCATATATGCAATGGTATAATGACCCCTTAGAATGCTGTTTTGGATAGTGCTCTTTTTCCAGGAATGTATCCTGAGTGTTAACTGGGGTATTAACTGTACTGTATAAAGTTAATACAAGTGAGAGGCCAGACCACGGCAAAATAAACTCTATCAACCACAAAAGGTAAGTGAAATTACTCTTTAAACTCCCTTATTTACAATGTTTATTATATCTTCAACGTGTTTTCCTGTTTATGTATTGTTTATTTTTCCTTTGGTTTTTCCCTTATTCAGATTCAACTGACAATTGGCATTAGCGGACCACCTTCCTTCCCTATTAGTCCATAGAATCGAGGTTCTACTGTACTCAGCATTTAAATTCATTCCTGGCAATATACTTTTCCAAAATTCCATCCACTTCTTGATACTCATTCTCACATTAAGATTTTACTTTTTCTCTCTGTGCAACAATCAATTCAATTATTTCGGTCTTCCTAAATTCTCTCCTTGTTTATTCCTTGGGACACAGCAGTCACATTAACCCATCTTTTACACTCCACTTTTAGCTTGATTGACAGTATTCTTAAGAATGATATCCCTTGTACCATTACGTTCCATCAGACGCTTCCACATTTTATCAGCCACACAATACAATCATAAAAAGTTAAAAGTATAATAACAGAAAACTTACGTAATAGCATTCAGGATACCACTGTACTGTGCCTCATTAGCACCTTTGGATAGCAACTGCAATCTTGTTTTAACAACATCAAAAGGGTTAACGGCTAAAGCTGATAATGATCCTGATGCACAACCAGCCAGGAATGAACACCAGAAGACTGCCTCTCCTGTGAACACATGGCTTTGATTAAAGTATTCTATAAAAGAAAAGTAAACATTAATTTCTTAAAATTTCAGAGAAAATTATTTCTGTAAAGGCAACTGAAAAGTATAATGTTTAATTTCTAATTTATAAAAAAGGTAAATTTCACATTGGAAGATTTAATCATTTATACTAAATGAATCATGCACACTGTATTTAAGCAAAAACATACCTGAACCATCAGACTTGCGTGGCCCTAAGGAGTTCAGATGAGCAAAGAGTGGAAAATATACAACGGAAAAGGAAACATCACGTAACATGGTAGCAGTTGTCCCTCGGTACAAGCCTAGAATACCCTTTTCACGAAGCAGTTGTAGGGTGATTGATGTTGCAGAGATTTTTGGAATACTCGCTTGCCCACCTGAAAAATTAATCATTATGTTATTCATCATCATTCTAGGACTGTAAAAACAAGTACTACAGTACTGAACAGTATAGTTTTCCCTAATAAAGAAACAGAAAATGGGAAATTTACCCTAATACTATATCAGAAAGCCATTACTAAATGTATATGAATGAGGGATTGCTGTATAAACTATTGTGATAGTTTAGTTCATATAACCTTCATATGATGGCAAGATTTTTGTGCCTGTTTTAAAATTTTGCAAAGATTAGCATTCATAAAGTGAATCACATGTCTCTCAATCATCATTTTCCTGCTCATACATCAGTAGGGCTATCAGATACCTTTCACTCTTTATGGAAGACACATATATGTTGTCATTAGTGGCAGTCTGCCTTTTGCCATTCCCCCCCTCCAGAATCTCTCTCCTCCCCTCTAGTTGATTGGTCCCCATCTGCTTACTTAACACTCAACCATGACATAACAAATGAAGATACCTTTACAGTACTGGGTTATAACAATAGAAGATACCTTTACAGTACTGGGTTATAACAATACAGTAGAAGATACCCAGGTACCTTTACAGTACTGTACTGTACTGTGTTTAAATTGTTTTTTACTTTTTCATACTTATGTATCCATAGTTACCTTTAATTTGGAAGAATATATTGTAATGTGTAATAAGTATTTTAGTTTTCTCCTCATGTTTTTATGCACACAGTAGCAGCCAGGTTTTCTTGTAGTTGCAATTTAAAGGATTATAACAAAATAGATATACACTATAATAATATAGTACAATATAGGTACAGGCATCCCTAGAAAAACAGAAGGATTAAATTGTAAAAGCATTCTTGAAAAGTTGTCCCTAACTTGAAACTCCTACTTAACAGTTGACTTCCATTATGTATTTAGAGAAGCATTCTTAGACAAAAATAACTCCTAAGACTTTATATAGTACAAATTTAGCTGGAAAACCTTATTTTTTATAAACTTGTTTATGAAAAGGTTCTGTTTCTGAAAACCTTTGTGATCAGAAATACTGCGTATGTAAAACTAATTTTCCCGTAACAAATACTGTATGTACCTGTATTGTGTTATTGGGAATATCCAGTATGTTCCTGGCCAGGAATTCTGGGTGTACTTGGGCTGATTTTTCATACATGAACACTGATAAATCACTAATAATCCAAAAATAAATACAAATATATACAGGGTAGTGTACATGAAATGTAGCAATCTCTTCATGATTTGCTCTTTTGCGGTAATGTAGTATCAGGAATGAGACCCCTGCAAAAAATGAGGGACCACTGTAGCACATAATTTATGTACAAAAAATAGCTCCTCCACACTCAAACCATCCTTTAGGTGACTCAACCCACTTCAGCTTAGCAGTCAACCAGGTGACTCAGTGACATGTGGCTGCCGCTATGCGCTGCGTGAATGCCATGACATCACACTGGGAGGGAGCATGGCCACATAGTTATAGCCCACCGCCTCCAGCCACATACTGTACACACCCATGTTCTTCAATTTTCTTATTTTATAGTTTTATATTATATTTTCTTTATTTCTAAGCCACATCATTTATATAGAGTTGAATAAGTGCTAAAGAAGCCGATTTTACTGAGACAGGAATTTGCAAGGTCAGCCTGTAGCACTGTGCAGTGTAGGATTTATTGGGGATCCTAAGAGTGAGGTCCAACTAACCGGAAAAATTCTTTATCAGGCCACCTCTCAATCTCCGTAAGAGTCGGATAACTGGGATTCTACTGTACTATACCTGTATTCTTGAAATAAAACAGATTACCTGTACTGCTTAATTACATACAGTATCACAAAAACCAACTTACTAGATACTGCCTGAGCTGCAACTCGACCAGCATCTTGTAACTGAATCTTCAAAAGTTCCATTGGTGTAGTTACAACAATCTGACACAAACCAGCCAATCCACCAGCTGCCATTTCACGATGAATGGGAAGTTTACTGAAAAAAATAAAGAAAAATTGGTCATAAAATAAGATTCAACCTGATATTGTTGTTAAAATTAAAATCGTTAAAGCGAAGAATCATAAGTCAAGAGATTGTACATTGAGGGATGCCTGTATTTGGTAAATTTTTTGCTTCATTGTAAAGAAAGTTCCAATTGTCTACAGATGTGTGCTACATGATTTGAAATATATAATTGAAGTTATGAAAATTAAAAAATGTGAATAATATAAGATGGGAACTGAGCAGCCTGATAGGGTGCTCAGCTACCTGGACCACTAACTTGAAGCCATACCTCAATAAATGTGGTTCTGCTCTAACTTGCCTTTTGTTTTACTGAGTAGTCGTACATACCCATCTTTAGTAGTTAAGTGATGACGGAAGTAGTCATTTGCAGTGAGCTTAATTGCTTTTTCTGGCGTGATGAGCAAAATGTTGACACCAGAGCCTCGATACATGCCAAAGTACCCTTCCACCCGATAAGTTTTCTTGAAGCAATCAAGCCTGTGGTAAACACCGATGAATCAAACAAAAGTATGAAGCTAATGAGGAGATGATAAGTCACATATTACTGTATAGCCATCACTTACTGTAAACATGTGCAAAATAACAAAGTTTTCATGTTTGAAAGAGAATGTACATAGTGCCAATGTCACACAAAGTTAAAAAGAAAATAATCTTTGAATTTAAGCATGAGTTTGAAATCAATGGTTATTAAATCAACAATGGAAAATAAAGAGATTACATGTAAAACACTTAAAAAAAAAATTAATAATGTGCTCAAGTAGGAAAGGGTTGTGAAGCTAAAATGAAATGTCATACGCAGTTAAACCTCAATAAATCGGGCTTCAGTATATCAAAATTCGCTCTTTTGCAACTCTTCGAGGTATTCTGGACCACTCCTCTATTCACCTTGAAATAATAATTATGTAAGTACAGTAAATATTTTAAGAAATGGGGGAAGTAAAAAAAAAAAATGAAACGAACAACACTTACACATGGAATACCCTGTACTGTAGATTGGTTTAATCAGATGTGCTATAGGCCTACCGAGAACTAAGACACTGAGTATGTTAGCAGGCTGAGGCTGACTGGGTGTTGCCGCATTTGTCAGGTTTATTTATTTACAACATTGACTCGGTATTATATTCTCATATAATTGGCGTTTTATGTTTCATCATGATTAATATAATATTTTCAATAATAGAGAAAAAATACAATATGTAATTTGTAATACGACTTGAAAATAAAGGGATAAGCTGTATCAGAAGGTATTCACTCAGGATGCCTTCATGTGAAACCTTTCAGCAAATAAATTTACAACTGGGTCACTATAACAAATTGTATAGTATTGGATATGAAAATACCTTCCTAACAACATTATTTACTCCCTTTGAGTGATACATGATGGCTCAATTTGGCTACTGATAAATGAATAAACAAAGGTATAGTAAACCTTCCAGACCTCTTGGATCTGGATTTCACTTGATCTGGAAGACGTGTGGATTTGGCAAATTCATATCTGGTCTCTTTCTCAGTCCATATGCCTCGTTTACTCCCCCACTGCTAAAATGGACCCTGTCCGCATCTCCCGTCACTACTCACCGCATGACGTTTATCGACTACTAAAGCACTAATATAATTATTGTTGTTGTTGTTATTACACTATTTTCATTACTGTATTATTATTTAATACCATTATTACTATTATTAATACCATATTGTTATTGTTATTATCCATACAGTCCATATACAACATTACGATTATCGTTAATGCGCCTTCATCACCCAGTTTATCCGGACATTTGCCACATCTGGTCACTCTCTTTCCCCCAAAATTGTTCGGAAGTTTAAGGGTTTACTGTACATGCACATGCATAATGCTGTTCACTACAATATTGCTAAAGTGATGATAAATATACTACAATAGTATTTATTAAGTGAATAAAATACACTAAGTGATCATAAAGGTATTAATTTAGTTTCAGTCATCCGGGGAATCTTAGGAATTTAGGTTAAGTTTGATACAGTTCCTGGGTTCTGTTGCGAGGTTAGGTTTGGTTGGTTATGGTAGGTTAGGCGAGATCAAAATCATTCAAAACATACAAAAAACCGGTGGAAAAACATAGGGATGACTGAAACTATAATTTTACGATAAATACACTATAATAGTATTCATTAAGTGAAGATGAATACACTACTGTACTGCACTAATTTACGAAGTGTTGAAGACAGACATTGTGGTAAACATGAGTGGTGAAGGAACTAAGCCTATCACCTGTATGAATTCTTTTAGGATAATATTTTATCAACCTGACACCAAATAAACCTAAATGTTATGAGAATTAAAGGTGAAATTGCATAAAGAAGTGCCCACCCAACCGAGCTACCCCGCCCACAGCTCCCAGATATACACTTGTCTCTACATATATAATATATTCCTACACTTATTTGTTCTTACTTTTATCTTAATAGTATTATACAGTGTTGAGTTTTCTCTTTATTCATAAGACAAATTCTGTGGTTACTTATGTAGTGTATAACACTTTACAGTAAATAACAATCATCTCGGTGAAAACAGTTATTGACAACCAGGCTTAAGTCTGATTTTCAACCCAGAGAGTTCCATTTCATGTTTGTTTTATTTGTTGATTTAATAGTGTTTTAATAACCTTGTATAAACTTAAAGACCTTCTTTGCTTTAGTGCAGTAATAATATAACGGATTTTCTTTAAATAGTTCAGATAAGCAGTGTTACCTCACCCCCCAATAGATTCCCATTTTTTGGAGTGGGATCTGCCCCAATTAGTCCATTTTACCGAGGTTCTACTGTACTGGTAGGCTACTAAGGTACACGTAAAGATGCATTCAAAATTAACAGAGTACAGTATACCTGTACCAAAGAATATCCTGCACAATTTAACAACACTTGTAAAAACTGATAAGATTAAAAAACAAAGACTTGAGAGGTGCAACTGGGTGAAATAAAGTGATAAAGGTACACCAGGATGCACCTTGGAGCCCCAAAGTACATACAGTACTGCACAGTATGGTCACATAGATACACTAAGTACTCTACAGTGAAGTTACATCGGTATTCAACAGTAGGAAAATGTAGACAACGCTACATAGTAACACTAGGATACACATTGGAGCCCCAAGGTACACAATGGTACAGGATGGTCATAATGGCACACCAAGGTACACTTGAATAAAGTAAGGTTACACAGACACACCAGGGTATTACTAAATATATAAACCAGGGCACATCTAAGTTCACTTGGTAACAATAGGTTACTGTACATAGGAACACCAGGGAATGCCAAAGTACACATTAATACTGTATATAATACAGGTTTAGGTGAATTTTTTCCCAGGGTCATATATTCAGTTTTTACCTTTGTGTACAAAAAAAAATGTTGTAATGATGAATGGATTCCATATGCACATATAAATTTAAAGTATGAAGGTTTGATTTTTTAGAGGTCTGGGGACCTTTCCCTCTCATTATCATCATCAACATTTTATGACTATTTTCTGCTTGTGCAGGTCAGCCAAGAATACCTGATGGCAGCTCTCTATGCTGCATGGTTTTTTGTAGTTTCTCTTGTCAGGATCCAAACTCTTAATGTTATTTCTTACAATCTCTCCCCATGTCATTCTTGGTCTGCCCCTGACTCTCTTCCTCTCCACATTTAAGCTCATGGACCTCTTGACACGATTGGCCTCATCCATTCTCTCCACATGCCCAAACCATTTCGGCTTGCCTTTATGCAGAACTTCATCAATACTCTCAATACCCAATCACCCTCTTAGCTCTGAACATGGACTCTTGTCTTTCAATGTCACATTTCACATAATGTACATCTCTAGACAATAAAGTCTGCTGTACCTCAGTCTAAGTGCTGTCATAATTTATGAGTAAGTGAGGTACGACTACATTTCTACAAATGTTAAAGAACTTTAAGTGGGTACTTACATGGTCCAAAGCTAAATCATAAGTAATGTATGTTGATATGAACAAGTTCATCTATTTAAACAACTATTGTTATATACATCATTGGTTTTCTAAATTTTATATAGAAAAGTTTCTAATATATAGATCAGGAAAAGCATTTATACATGGCTTTTCATTATAATTTTCACTATTTGTCAGCTTACTAGCCAGTCGGGTTGAATAAATAACCACGAGGGGATCATGTTGCCGGAGTGAGGTTCATAATTGAGTCACAGTCGTCATTCATCTGGATCAATCCTTCTATATATACACAGTACAAAAGTTCCTTAACACATGCTATATCAAATTGATGGATCTTTTATAAAGTTTTAAACTCAGCTGTTTTGTCAAGGAGAGAGTCAGTGTTTGTGTACATAACTTTCAGACTGAATTCATGCACAGTAGTGGCTCCAAACTTGTTAACAAATTCAAACCCTTTGCATGAGCATCGACTACCTCATTTACTCTATTCACCAGGTTATTTATGATTTTGGCCACATACAGTATACTGTAGGTGTGTTCATACATTGACTGTCTCTGCCTGGGTGGGATGTTGCGGGGTTACAGGCCAACTCACTGTTTCCACATGCTCATTCCTTGGGTTCCCTGAGGTTGCACTTGCCTCCATTACCCTCCCCTTGCGTATACTGTACTGTACCGGTATCCCACCAGAGTCCGTCCCTGTTAGTTCTCAATTCCTTTCTCTTCTGCTTCTAGTTCATCAGGAGTTTCTTGTGCTCTTCCCTCTGCATTACTTTGTGATCTGGACTTACAAAAGTATTCTGAAAGGTTGGATTCTAACTCCTTACTAAGTATTTTTGCCTATTGAATAATATCTTACTTTTTTCCTCATAGTTTTCTTAATTTGTTATGCAATATTTTAATCTTTAGTTTTATTACATTATTCAATTCCACATTACTCTTAATCATATTCTATTAATACTGTACTGTATTATTGAAATGCAAGGGTAGCATCTAGGTATTTCAACATAAAAATAGTAATTCTTATGGTATAGTAAAATCGAGAAATAATTTATACAAAAATACAAAAATTTAAACACTCGTTAACTTACATAGAATTATACATGCGTTCACCATTTGGACCAATTTGTTGGTTCTGCAGCCGTGTCTTTACCAAGTCAAGAGGGAATACACAAGTTACTCCCACAATACCAGCAATCCCTCCATTAAGGATCTTAGGCAACAATCTGAAAAAGAACAAAAGAAATTCCATTAATGTATGAAAAATACATTCGGTAAGAAACTACTAAACAGATAAAGTATGTAGCCAAAAGTACAAGAGGGAATGATCCTAAAAATCGAATCTTTAACCAAACTAACTAAGGGCAATTCTTGTACTGTATAGGCAGCAAGTTTGCATGGTTGAGATTCCAGGTTCCAGGACCAAAACTTGTAACTACATTAGAGATCTAAAACTTAAATAAATTAAAAAAATAAAATAAAGCTTCCCAACAATATTAGAATCCTCAAAAGGCAACACTCCGTACAGTGCTACAGTTCCCCCTGGAGGGAGAAGGCCGAGTATTCAGTGCCATACAGCACTGTAAATGGATGTGTACTCCTTGATTCCACCTGTTTTGGTTAAAAAAAAAATGCAGGATCAAATTTTTCAGTTTGCGGGAGGGGATTTGGGTCACTTAATCCCAGTTCAGTTAGAACATAGAATTTCAGGATCATTCCTTCTTTTTTAACCTAGTGCCAGTTTCAGGTAATTTATGTACAGTACTGTATTCATAAGACAGCTAGAATAAGGCAGAACCAATAAGTTCATAAAGCTCACAGAGCACTGCACCCTACTCAATCCATGGATATGCCATGAGAAAAATGAAAAGGACACAAACAGTGGCAAAGCCAAGGGGAGGTGCCCACCTTATGATCTCTGTACTTAATGTTGAACAGTGGCATTTATAATTAATGCCAGTTTATACTGTACTGGCTATTGCAGGAATGGGTTATGAATGGTCTGTATCTGGCATTTATTGGTTTCTGAAAATCTGAAAAAATAAACCATATGTGTGTATTTATCTTCAATTACTGTACTATTGTTTTTTTAATTCACATATTACATATGTACTAACTGTACTGTAGTTAGCCAAAAGTCAAAAGCTAGGAAATCAGTTTTAATGAGAACAGCAGTGAGCCACTCTCTCCTGGACACTTGCCAAATATGTGAAGCCTAAGTATTTATAGCAATAACACACCCCAGGAATCTACTACAGAACTTTAGTAGTAAACAGAATCCTGTGCCAGATCCCCTTACACTCCGCCCCTCCCCCAAAGAAGTTTAGAGAATGTTTTGCATTTCAGGAAATAAAAAGATCACAAACATTGATCAGTAACGACTCAGATTTTTTTTTGTCAGTGGTACCAAATATTTATGAAAGTACAGGTACAGGTATTCCATCACAAATAACTACAGAGATAAACCCTAAGGATCATACTTAATGTTTACATTCCTGTTGAGTTTTTATGAATTGATTGCTCTCTTTCCTTACACTAAAATTTTCAGCCATCATACAGTATAATACTGTATACTGTACACAGTATAATGCATTCATTAAACACACACACACACATTATACTTTACAGTATTCAGTTCATCCATAAATACTTGTATATTAATCATATACAGTATTGTACTGTACAGTACATAAAGAAAACTACTGTACAGTAAACCCTTAAACTACGCAAATGTAAACAACGCGGCCCTCGTCCCTCCACAGATTGCACTATGGGTTGCAGGGGTAGCAGAGGAGGTTATATACGTGTGTCAGACAACTTCCACTACTGGCCACAAGAGGTCTCTACGGTGGCACGGAGGGGTTCCACTGCATCTTAAAGACACAGAATACACACCGATCCTCTTCATATTTCTTATTTTATAGTACAGTATCATATATTTTCTTTATGTCTAAGTCACATTAGAGTATTGAAATGGTTTTTCCACAACTTTTATAGTTTCATTATACTGTATGTAACAATGGCAACATGCATTATCATCTCGCAGGCCACAGCTGACTCCCAGCACGTCACAGAACATGGACTTCTTTAACAATTATTCTACTCTATATAAACAATGTGGCTTAGAAATAAATAAAATATTATAAAAAACAAGAAAACAAAGAGCATGGGTGTGTATATAAGAAGTGAATGTGCATCTATGGAGGCGGTTCTAGCCAATGATATAAAATAAGAAAAATAAAGGGCACAAGTGAGAAGTGCAGTAAATGTCTTATGCAGTGGATTTTTCTTCATTTTTTGGCAATTTTGGCTCCCCGTAGGAGAACATTGCGGTATTGGGTCTTCACGGGCTCTTATTAACCTAACCCCCGCGATGTTTAAAGGTTTACTGTATTAAATTTTAAAGATATGGTGATTTGTACATGTTAACAATACCCACTTAAACCTCGGCTTGTCTCCCATTATGGTGCACTTGGATCACCTTGCAGTTTTATCTGAAATTCAAGAGAAAGGCATTTATATAATAACCATATGTACAGTATACTGTATAAATATTGTGCGTGTGTGTGTCACACTTAATAGGGATAAGCACAAGCATTAATATATATTTTTTTAAATTGATCTCTATACAGTATGGTACAGCACTTGTACAGTATAGGAACGATCATGCAATCATAACATGATATATGTATTAATTCATTACACGCTAAAATGGTTATTGATGCATTTATTTTGAAAAAGAACTTCGGGAAATAATTTGTGAAATTACGGTAAATACAATTGTTAAATTTTGCCCTGCGCTAATGTCCATGTATGGCTTTGCATCTCTCTAATGTCTATACATGGCTTTAAATCTATATATGTACCATAATGTAATGCACAATAATGTACAAGTATAGCTTTACATATTGTGTACTGCACTGTATTGTTTGTGTGGTCACAAACTATGCAGTGTCAAGTTATGGCTGTACGATTATGTACTAGGTACTTTTTTATGTGAGGCTGTACAACTGAATTTTTATGTTGCTGTGTATCTTAAATATGTATGTGTAGCTGCATGGCTGCAAAGCTGTCATCTTATATGCTAAGCTGTGCAGCGCTGATGTACTTTAACATAAATGAGGCAACACACCCACTATTGGTAAATGTTCACTTCTACCTTTAAAATAAATCAGTCAACTGCTGTACAGTATATACATTAATCAGTTAAGGATCAATTTGTAGTTTCAACCAACCACGGCTCTCTAGTTGAGCAATGTGATTTCTGATAGTTTAAACATTTCAATACACCTTTCTTCTATGACGCTTCTCTCGCAAATGACTTAAAATTACCTAACCTCCTAAATGAGGGGCTACCCCCCCCTGGATCAGCCGATATATTTGTCATTTGCAAGGGATACGTCAAAGAAGAAAAATGTACTAAAATGCTTAAACCATAAGAAACCACATTGCTCAACTAGAGAGCCGTGGTTGGTCAAAACTACAAATTTACCCTAATTACATATGCTGTATTATGATGTCCACAATTTATTGTTTATTGAAACAACCATACACATGTACGGTCTGTGAAGCTATATATATATATATATATTTTTTTTTTCTTTTTCTTTCATCTGGGGAATAGCCCACTGGGGCACAGGTCATTGACCCACAACGAGGCCTAGAGTACGTACAGTATATACTTCACATCTGTAAGACCATATACTGTATTTGCTTAAAGTCTGTGGCTGGCCATACATATGCATTATGTCCCTATGTAGCCATGGACTCAATGTCTTTGTGGGAATACACTTGCTTAATGTCTGGATGGCCATACACTTGCTTAACTTCCAAGTGTGGCCATACCCTTGTTTAATTTCACTGTGTGACTATACTGTACACTTAATGTCCCTGCATGGCTACACATCTAGATAAAGCCATACACTTGCTCAACATCCTTATGTACCCATATAGGTATATACTAGGCAGGTCTCTTTACACCCGTTGCCTCTGTTCACCTAGTTGTGAGTGAGTAGGAACCTAGTTGTAAGACGGCTGTTTAAGTCGCATCCTGGGTAATAGTGTAATGCAATAACATGAGGAACAACTGTTAAAGATTTGGGACTTGTGTCCCAACTGGGCCTATGCCCGAGATATGGGTTAGACCGCCCAAACGGCAAGTAAGCTAAGTGGCGAATATGATTCATAAAAAAAAAAAAAAATAACATTTCGTGTTCATGCATCTGTTCAGCATGTTACTGTACACTTGTTATGTCATTTTAGCTATACAACATAAGTATGGCTTTATTTACGGTTGGTCATACACCTGAGGAATGGTTGTGCGGGCATGTAACATTCAGTGTATTAGATATTCATTCCCGACACCTTAGTCCACACTCACCACAAGCATGTGAGAACCACCGCCTGTGATGACCGTGCTAAGGTAACTGGTACAGTGGAGGCTATTACGACACATTCCCGGGTGTTCATTACTCCAGCAAGTGAATGTAAAGACATATTGAATGTGCAAGTTTTATAAACACCCCTGGATAAGATAACCACAACTAAACTGAGGTTTAAAAATGGTAACATGAGGGAAACAGCTGACCCATCATAATATATACAGAAGATCAGCTGAGTGGCAGTAGGTCGTCTGCTGGGAATCTACTCACAATTTTTGCTTTCTTCCTCTTGATAATCCTTTTCCACCAGTACTAATTGACTGCAACATAAGGTTAAATGCAAACGGTGGCATTGTTGAATATGTAATACAGTGTACCGGAGGTTGGATAATATAAACCTTAGGAGACAGAACCTACCTACTGAGACACCGGCTGCTGTGGGAGACTGAGTGGGTGGGAGTGGGAGATCATGCTGCCGGAGGTAGGCACCGTACGATTCATGTAGTACAGTATTGTCATAACACATACAGCATCATTATCAAAGAAAGATATCAATTATCGTAAACAAATATGAAATATCAGCACCCTAGAGTATTGTAAACTCAATAATATAAAATTTAAATATTTATTAAAAATTTCAAAAGGCACTGGTACCATACGTTACTGTGAGGTATACGAACTGAAACTATAATTCATAAAGAAAAAGATGTTCAGATCAACCAACGCACCAATGACTGTCCTCAACATGAATCAATCAAATTATAATTACCAATCAAGCATATCTAATTATATGAATGGTCAAAAAAGTTTATCGCGCAACAAAATATTAATATACCTGGAAGCTTCGTAAAACAAATATATTATTTATAATATACAGTAAGTAACATATATTTATGAATATGTGTACTGATAAAAACACATGTAATACATACGCATTCACAAGTCACCATTTCCCCTCACCCTTCTTCCTAAAAGAAAGACGTGAATTGTAAAGAAGAAAAAATAGACATACCAGGAGTGCGCGTGTCACGACAGGTGCCAAGTGAAGGGGGCGGGAAGCGTGGCACCCGGGGCTCTTCGTGTTTCCCACTTGATATTGAAACAGTTTATTTAGCCAGAAAAAGATAGAGCAGATAATAATAAAAATACTAACATGGCAGAGCCAGTTGAGAGCCTGAGCTCTCTTGAAGGCACCTGGTATATACTTTACATTTATCTCAAGAAAGTACTGTATTATGTCACATTTAGTATCATATGGAATAGTACACGTAACCTAATAAGAACATATCAGAATGTTACCACAGTTATCACTCCGTTATTTATTTATCTGATTTATTTCTTTTCATTTATATTATAATTATATACATACTTTACAGTGGTGTTGATATACATAAATATGATAGGGAGGGGGAGCAGTACAACACGGGTTGGAATAGAGCTGTCAGTTTCATGTCTAGTCGGCACATATAATTATTGCAATGGTAATTTCTGTCAATCTACATGACAATCTATGATATAATGGTTTTGGTGGTACAATATAAGCAGGAATATGAAGTAGGTATTACAGGAATATTAATACTTGTCTTTTACAGAGACAACATAACAACTCCTGTTTGGTGTTAACAGCATTATAAAAGAATATGTTTGTGCGCTCATGAAAAAAATATATATTTCTCAAAAAAGACTTCAGAGACCTATTTACCAATTTCCACTTGCCCTGATAAATTCTTTACGTGCCGGCAGCAACATTATAGCGCTGGGAAATTGCCGAATTATCAGCTGTTGTTTCACGCCCCTTTGGCAGGTACTTGGGCTAGCTTATACTGAGATATATAACATAGAAAACTATGCTAATATATTGGCTAGTAAATTGACTCGTGTCGAAGAGGAAACATTAGAGTGCAGTACTTACTTTTATGAGGGGACCCTCCCGGCTCCTTCCCCCCCCACCCCCCATCACCGTCGGAGAGGGTAGCCTCTCACACAAGGATATAAGGTAACAGTGTTTAGTCCCGAGGAATGTTGTTCTTGTTTAGCATAGATACACCCTGTATGTCACTTGTGTTCCTGGGGGTTGATAGCATGATCTTTAAACGAAGATGACAATACAGTATATATATACACACATATATATATATATATATTACTCCTGGCATGCACATAAAAGGACTTGGGAGCTTTCCCATTACGGTACTGTATTTTGATCGTTTATGGCCAGCACCACCTGACCCACTACCTCCAGAAGTCACAACTAAGCAAACAAAAACTAACAATGTGTGTTCTAAGGAAAAGGTGCCAGGTGAGAGTGTGTTATACAGTACTACCTACGACGGTCACCCTCCTGGGGGACCCTTGCCCTCCCCTCCTCAGGCCATGTTACTTCCCCTCCTCCAGATATTCGCCCGTCCCACACCCTGGGTCGTGTGCCTCTCCTGCCCTATTTCAAGTACCATGATCTCCTTCATGTGACTTGCCTTCCTCCGATGATGTGATGAGATGACAATTCAAGATCGGTGTAGACAGCCACAGCCAGGATGTGGCACCACAGTACTGGCCAATGCAGATATGACCAGACAAGATGAGACACCTTGACCCACTCTTTCACTATATACACTTCACATTGACCTCGTGTCTTCACTTACCGCGATCATTATATCAGTTCTTATCAGCCTCTGATTGTACGTCAAGTCGGCGAGGAGATTGGGCTCTGTTTATCTCACGGGAACAATGATTGGTTCTCCTTATTGTGAGAAATAAATTTACATCCCATCTTTAGAAGTAAGATTACTGATTAGTAAGACAGTGATACATACACCTCACAATATTCACTTCACCGCGCAGTCAGAAGCACACAATATAAATCTAGTTAGTTATGAAGATGTGTAGGCGAGTGACGGTGTTCCTGCCTACATCACTAGCCTTCATGCCTGCCAACATGACGTTACACACAATAAACATTATTGACTAAAATTATATCAAGTGTATCTGAATATCTTTTGCTTTATATGACAAAAGAACACGGGTCAAATGTAAGTACAGCACCCTGTCATGCGGGCTGAATGATTACAACGCACTCCACACACTCTTGTTAAGTAACCCGATGTTCGACAATATTTACTCATGGAATTTATATTTAATTTACGCTACGCAATCATAATCACATGTCATATATGATAGTGATACAGCGCCGTACATTCACCCCATCAGTCCAAGGACTTGCCCTGAGCTCGATAAAATGGTCAGTTGTTTGCCAGAAAAAAATCCCGTGTCGTCATCATATTGAAGCGACGAGGGGAGAGAAAACTAAAGTGTATTACCGTTACTGTAAACTGTATAATTTTAATTGGATTTGAGGATTTGACTGCCCTAATAAGTTCGCATAGAAGCCTTTTAAGTGATGTGTCAGGGAAGGATATGAGATGTTCTCTGCCTGCCCTACTGTACTGTACAAACACCAGCCCCGCCTCTACTGGAAGCCGAACGGTGCTAACCTCAGGTACCGAGACGCACCAAGGCTTGTCAAATGTTCAACTTTAAGCCTGACAGTTCTACTTACACAAATTTACAAGGTAGGTTTTATGTCTTTGTTGTCTTGTAGTCAGCACGGATGAGTACAGGTAGTATTTTTATTTCAATTCACCTCAAGATGCAAAGAAGACAAAGTGAAGAAACAGTAAGAAATGTGATGGAGGAAGAAATAGGATTAAAACTGGTGACTAGAATATTACAACCTCCGCCTAACGCACACAAGTCAACCTGTTGTTCTTTATTAGCATAACAGAAGGTTGGAGAATATGTTTACTTAATAACTTGAACCTGCATGTAATTTTCTCTACCAGTAAAAGTCAACGGAACTTTTAATAATTTTATAAGATTTTTTTTTCTCACTACAAGGGTTTATTTTTTTCAAAGTTACATACAAAATAAGTAAAACTACGTGTATTCCATATTGGCCACAGCAGTATAATATGTACAGTAGGTGCAGGTATGGGGCAAAGTGTTCCGCCTAAAGCTTGTTCAGTTGTATCTCGAAATAGTCTTTGATCGTTGTCGTTGAGTACATAAATATTATAGAAAATGGGTTCACTCGGAGCGGTAACCATGCAGTAGTTGTTGCCAATATTATACATTTGCACGTTTTGAATAGGAGTATGCCGGTCAAGTGGAAACAGCGTTTGCCTCCTGTTTCATGGGCCGGTGGTTCGTTCCCCGGGCATCTCCCAGTTCACCCAACTGTAAATGGGTGAAGTGAAAGCGGTCGAATGCAGTACCGGCCATGCTGCCTCCTTGTGTAAAGAAGGCTTAGTATAGTCTGCTGTATCCACACTGTCTTTAATGGATAGTCATGCCTATGGGACCCATGCTCACTTTTCACATTTTGAATTATCTTCATTGCTACTTACATAGTTGACGAATTTTGCCGCCATACTAAAGCGACGCGATGAGAGAAAAGAAAACTAAAATGTATTACCGTTACTGTAAACTAATTCTAGAGTTTTAACCAGTGGCGGCTCGTGCATAGAGCTGCAGTCCCCCCAGACACTCACTGCCAGGCGTATGATTCCTTTAGAGAGACAGCTGAATAATACACTACCAACAAATATATCATTTTATATGTTATTTAATTATTTTCAATACGTTGCTAAGTGAATTTTCATTAAAATCAGACCAAAATTTAAGTTACTTTCATAGTTGCTGTCAATGCTGTACGATTCATGTCTGTTATTAATTGGCGCCGCCGCCGCCGCCGCCGCACCTGAAGCAGCTCAGTCTCGTACAACGTGTGGACGGTGTGGTTAAATCGTGCTTTCTTTAATTACCCTTTGACGATGGAAAATCGAGTGAAGTATTTGCAAAACATCAACTTTTCCCAGCTGACATTAAATGAAAAGACTGAAATCAAAGCAAGAGGAAGACCTACACCAGTTTTATCCATTCAACAGAACAGTACAAGCAGGAACAAAGAATATACACGCCAGTTTAACATCAGTGTTTATGGCTCTGTGGTTGTGACGAGGCAAATACTTTATTCTGCTTTCCATGCTTATTGTTTGGTGGGGACTCGGCATGGACGAAAAGTGGTGTGACTGACTTGAGGCATTTGCCACAGAAAATAGTGAAACATGAGCAGTCAGCCAAACATATGAATAACATGATTAATTTATCGTTGCTGGATAAAGTGAACATTGCAGCTCAGATTGACACAGCATACAAGCTCTCAGATGCAAAACACAATGAACAGGTGAAAAAAAACATCAACTACAACTCATACCTGAGGTAGGTCACCTACTGTTGTGTGAGGCTTCCAGTCCCTCCATTTGATTTTTCACGAGCCGCCACTGGTTTTAACTTAACTAGTCATTTCGTGTAGAAGCCTTTTTCGG